GAAATGATGTGCACTATATAGTACACTATTTTGGTAAAAGTATTAAGTTACTTACCTTCATGTGTACATGAATAGGAGTGCTGATCCATTTTTGATCAAAAAGGTTTAATATGACATTGGAAATATCTTCAGATCTACTCAGAAGGTTAAGGTTGTAGGGTGTGTTTCTTCCAGAAAGCTACTTGTGAGGTCGGACACTGATGTTGGACTAGATGGATTTGGGTTGTAGAAAACAATCCATTTTTGCATTACATGCTCCTTTCACTTGTTTGCTGGAAGTGAAAATAGGCATAAAAGTTTGTTTCCATTTGCAAGATGAGACCAATATATAATCATTGCTTTTTTAAAATTAAAATATCACAACAACCACATATTAAGGAATATTATCTTAGGTAAAAATAAGAAAATAATGATGTGATATTTTCTTGGGGGTGCTATGACTTTTCCAGGGAGAGCTACAGCGCCCCCTAGCGCTGCTACTGTGAAGAAAAAGTTTACATCAGCAGAGAGCCATCCAGAAGTTAGAAAGAAAAGGGATTAACTGGCTATACTTCAACTTGAAAGAAAGTTTTGATTGTTCTTCAGGAGATAAAACACTTTGAAGCTTTACAGAAACTTTTGGACATAAATTAAAATATTTACCCAGAAAAAGCTGCTGGTTATCAACCCGACATCATCAGAAACAGAGAGAAAAAGCTAGAGATGTTTTATTAGACAGATTTTTGCACCTTAAACCAAAATGAACTTGATAAAATTTGTCGTATGCGTTTAGCTGATTCTCTCCTCACATGCCAGATTGCTGCCGGGTCGGTGTGATCCGAACCAGAACGTTTACCTCTGACTCTGCTTGTGTCTGCAGCCGGATTACGTCCAGCCGCTGGTGGCCGTCAAGCTGCTGCTAACTAAGGAGGACTACAACGTGGAGCAGACGGTGGAATGTAAAGTGGAGGGATCCAACCTGCGCAACAGCGACGAGCGGGACAAGTATCTGGGTCGGGTCACTTTCCGGGTCAAAGTGTTTCAGTAAACGCTTGGTGCAATTTTACACTGAAACTAATTTTAAATTCAGGAAACTTTTAGCCCAGACCTGATCTGCTCCTGCAAGTCTGAATCAACTGGATCCAACAATCAAATCTGGACCGCCGAGGTTTAACGACACACTGCCAGAACCTCCGCAGCATCCTCGTGGTTCAGCCCAGTTTAACAGATAGCTCACCCGTTTCTGTTCTGCGCAGCTTAAAGAAGAAGAGCTGCGGTGGATCCTGTTGAGGCGCTGGGAGCAGATCAGGTCTGATGTGGAAGCATGTGAGCCCAGAGCACATCAGTGTGTTGTTTTTAGACTTTTCTATGTTAGTGAGATAATAAAAAGTAATCTGATTCCTATCGTGAGTCGCAGGGCAGCGCAGCAGAGTCCGCCTGAGATAGCAAACACTTTTCATTAAAAGTCACATGGTCAAAAATCAAAGAATAGTGCAATATTTTCCATAATTCTGACCGGGATGTTCTGGTTCTGCAGCAGAACAAACAGATAATTCATACTTACAGCAGGAAAGTATCGCTTCTTAACTTTCTTTAGTTAAAATCTCAGAATGAACATTAATATTACTAATCCATAGAAATAACAATAAGTGTGTTTCTAACCGGTGGATAAAAAGCTTTGTTTAGAGTCAGGTTTGGAAAGCAAGCCACCTCGATTCAGGATACCGGGTCAGCAGAACCGGTGCTGCAGGAAGAACTGAGTCCTGAGTTATTGCAGCTGATGCTAATGCTGATTGCTAAGGGACGTGTCAGATTGTAATCTGGTTTTCTTGGAGTTGAGTTGTTTGAAATACAACCCAGTGCAGTTAGTAGTGTAAATCTGACCCTTATCTGGCAAAATGAATTTAGGGGAAGCCAAGTGGGCTAAATATTTTCAAAGTTAGCAAAAGCAGTAAAGTGCTAAACAAACAACTTGCTCCCATATTAACATATTAGTGGGTTAATAGAAGTGATAAAAGGCTTCATCCAATCATTAACCACGAGTGACAGGAAAAGTTGTTCTTGTTGAGAATTTACCCAAAAAATGTGGAAAAATTTTGAAATTCTGCCAGGGTACGAAAACTTATGAGCTCAACTTCAACTTCAGCAGGCAGATAAACAAGAATCCTAACAAAAAGGGGAAAAAATAGACTTTGGCATGACTTCAGTAGGTTAGCCAGCCTGGAGGAATCTGCTTGTTGGACCAGGGTTCAAATACCGGACGAGCCCCCAATTACTGCCAGCTTAGCTCAGATCATGAAGAAGGGAATCAGTCCTGACACTAGGTCAGTTTGACACTTAGTTTACGTTACAGTGAAACATCAGATGTTGTCACTTGTTTACATGTGCAGATTTCTGAAGATGGGAACAGAAAATTATTAAATGAGTGATGAAGACAAAGACCTAACAGATGGCGACCTAACAGTTTGGTTCAACAGAGCCAAACTGTTGATCCAAAAGATTTCCAGACAGCTGTTGGGTCACAGATGGGAAATAAATATCCCACTTCCAGGATCCTATTGGCCCATTCAGACTAATACTGACACTATATTTATGAGTAATAGCTACCAAAAAGTATTTAGTGACCAATTAAAAAGTGACTTCCACTGCGCTGCCCTTCCCCCATCCGTGGAAAATTTAGCAAAAGAAAGATTTAACCTAATACAGTTATTATTTTAGCAGATTTTATTATTTATCTATTTATTTCTCAGATTTGTGAGATCATATTCATCAAGTGTAATTTTTTTGTTCTGTTTATCAGCCTGTACAGTTTTTAAAATGTGAACTACGTGTGATTGTAATGAGTTTTTGTGTGACCATCAAACACCATGAAACGTATCAGCAGAGTTACAATTAGAGAAAAGCTGTTATGGCATCACTGCTGTTTAAATGTGCTGTGAAATCTTTTGTTTTCTTCACAATAACAGAGAAATCGCTACAAAAAACATAAAATGACCTGATGATGAAAAATAAACTGAATAAAATGATGAATCAACTCTGCTCTAAATAAATTATACATCTTCTAAAATGTGCTCCCTCGTTCTTTATGTTTATCACTAAGGAGTCTCAACATGCTTCAGTGTTGTGCGATGTTTTATTTGGACAGGACGGCTACTTGCTCTCCTAGATTCCTGTGAATAAAAAAGGGGTGGAGCCTCACAGAGACACTGATCAGGTAGAAAAACAAACACTTCAGTTGTTTCAACTCCATTTTGATGGGATGGCGAAGAAGAAAGAAAGACAAACTGATTCAGGTGAGAGTTACTTCTTGTTTTTTCAGTCTTCAGCACTTTGGTTCATATATCGATCTAAAACTGATGGGATACAACAACTGTTGGACCAATCAGAATCCAGATCAGCTTTAAGTCTCAATGTTTTGATTTGCTCTTTAGTTCAGATCTTTGTAAGCTGGAGAACTAACTGACAAAGAAAGTGTGGAAATCAAAACTTCAGAGACATGAAATAGAATGATGCACATTTCACTGTTACCACAAACAGAATCTGGTGAAACGACTTTTCACATTTCTGTGAGGATTAACTTAAAGCAGGAGACAGAGAATACGAAAGTTAAGAACATTTCTGCTAGCGGGATCTCTGGATAGACCTGTTTATCTTGATTTTTTAATTATGAGATCACTGTAGGTGAGATAACACTGAGGTTAAAGGAATTTGTTTTGATCTCTGCTCTAAAACTGGAAGAGAGAGGATATGGTTGACTAGAAGTTTTTCTGGGTGAAACAAAACAAAGTTAAATGTTAAAATCATTAACCGATTCAGTACAAAATAAATTACAGGTGTGAAAATGTCGTTAAATTCTTGACCTACTATTGAACTTCCACCATAAGATGTCAGAAAGTAAATTTACAAATGTTGCTAAAAACGAGAAAACACAAAATAAAAGTAGAGGGAATTAAATGAAAGATTTAAACAACATTTACAGCAAATTCTTCTGCTTTCTTGATTGTGTTGAAAAAGGAGGAGTCATCGGTCAATGGTGCTGCAAGCAGCTCTCATCTCCCGAAGCTCCTCTCACCTCGTGCACAGGAGAAGAAAAGTCCCGAGTGATGGTTCCGCGAGCAGCTCTCATCGGTCGATGGTGAAGGAAGCAACTCTCATCATCTGAAGCTCCTCTCACCTCCTGCACAGGAGAAGAAGAGTCCTCAGTGATGGTGTTGCATGCAGCTCTCATCCCCCGAAGCTCCTCTCACCTCGTGCACAGGATCTTGTGCAGGAGACGAAGAGTCCCGAGTGATGGTGCCGCAAGCAGCTCTCATCGGTCGATGGTGAAGGAAGCAACTCTCAT